GCAATGAATCTATGATAAAGAGTCATATATTGGAAGTCAAACAGAAAAATTACAGATATGTTTTGAATATACTTTATAAAATACTTCAGTTATCCTTTAGTGCACTTTGGCAGATATTAGTTAAGTCATCCCTCATGCTTCAATGATTAAACAACTGTTTTGATTACGTATTATATCTGGCAGCACAACGCTAAATTTTGAATTAGTGCTTACTTTTCTTATGTCATTAATAATACCTTCTTCCAATTTCATGTTTACTAGTTTGTATACCAATATTTTAAAACAAAGCATTAAAAAAATTGATGCTTAAGCTTCAGACAAATTGGACCCTATCAACAAAATTCAGTTCCAAATGATTACTTTAGGTAATGTTTCATAACATTTCAAGTACGCCGTTTGAATGAGTTTCCGTAACACGACGTCAAAGTCAAACGATGAGGTTAATTGAATATTCCGGAATTAATTTGATTCAGACGCCGAATTTTGCCGCACATTATTCAGAAATTCATTTCATCACACTAGGTATGGAACGATCTTGACTGTGTTTGATGTTCAAGGTCATGTTCAAAATCTTACCAATTGAACTGCTTTTAAAGTATTTTATAATTTTTTAATATGTACATACAGCACAACATAAATACAAGAATGAGCAGGTGGATACCAACTCACAGAGCAATTATGATAAACATACTTATTGAGAGTGATGGTATGACTTATTAACTGAGGGAATGAGGGATATGACTTGCTAACTGACATTTGAGGTAATAACTGAGAATGAGAGGGAAGGGTAAGACTGCATGACTAACTGAAACAGTACTGATTTAATTTTTCAAATTGAAATTTCAATGTAAAAATCAAGATGCATCTCCTTGCGTGCGTTGCAGATAACTATTTGACGAAATACAAGTTAAATGAAAAAGATCTTTGTGCGTAAATACTGTTTGCCTAGGAGTTGTTGTTGTCCACTTCATATTTCCTGTTTTTAATGTCCTGTCGCCAAACCAACAAGATCACTAAAATAATTCATAATCAAGAATCATATTGAACTCAAATTTGAAAATTACTGTCTAGTTTTTAATGTAAAAAATAGCATAAGCTAATGACTTAGTTCATCTTCAGTGCTCAGTGACGAAGATTTGGTGATCATGTCATGCATCGATGGCTTTGGTTAGCACTTCGTCAATTTTGAGCATTGATTTGGTATATATTTTGCCAAAAGTCAAATTCAACCTTGAATTACGTATTGCATGCAGGAAGATTACATGTCATGTTTCTATGCTTTGCGTTTATGCCTTATATCAACTTACAGCAGGGAAGCATTATTATTGCAAGTTTATTTGATATTTAAAAACCTATATGACTTGCGACCGTTGATTAAATAAATGTACAATAATCATGCTAACCGTGTAGCACGCTGAAATGTATAACCCACTCCTAAATTCTACAAACATTTGTTCAAATCAATTCACTCAAAAACTTTGAAAAGGTGACTAGTTCATAAAAAAGTAGAGACTAGAGAGCCTCACCCACCCGGGGTTGTGATCAGTATAGCCTTGTTAAAAGATGAAAGAAGACAACCAAACTAATGATCGCTTATTGTTTGTGTTGTGTCAACAAGCTTTTTGAAATAGAGTATCTTAAAATTATAGAGTGCTCTGTGTTGTACTTAATGATAGTTCTTGACTAATCACGCTTTGTTAGTGACAGCAAACTATTTAGACCGCTTTAATATTATGGAGAGTTTTATGTGTTGTACATTATAAAGCATGGGTCATATAAAATCACTCTTTAATACATAGCTGTAGCTCTTTATCAATTGACGTTAACTTCAAAACCACATTACCTGTGCGTTAAAAGCAGTGACGTCCTTAGAGTTTGGGCTTGTCAAAACAAGCTTTACCGATGTTTCCTGGCGTGTATTATTGCATGTTAAAAATAATTCACTGAGATTGCATTACTCATGATTACCATGAAAAGTATTCCATGATATTGTTAATGTTAGCGTTATAATTATTCCAATTACTTCAGGTATTGTTGCAGCAAATTTCAAGTATGCCTTATGAATCAGTTTCCGTCAGACAATGTCACACCGCACGCGCCGCCACAAATTAAATTTGCCGATATGAATTTGATTCAGACGCCGAAGTTTGCCGCACATAATTCAGGAAATTGAATTCATGTTATGGCAAACACAACATGTGTAACGGTCTTCACTTTGTTTGATGTTCAAGGTCATTGCAACCTCTTGACTACACATTAAAATTGCTTTCTTACATCCTGAATTATAGATGTATTCCATCGAAGACTCACACACTTTTATTCATATCTTTTATTCACAAATTCTAAATACAAATCTAAGATATACTAATAACGTTTTATTCATTTTTCTATTCAATTCCATTACCAAATGTGAAAAATACAGTAAGATTAGAGTTCATCATGCGATTTTGAGTTCTGCCGTTGGATCAACTACGTCACTGAATTGGTATGCTTGTAGGTGTCTTTGATTTTGTTCCGCCACTCAAATTTATTGATTTATCCCAAAAAGCAATATCTTGTGACTGTCTTGACAAATCGGTCATTGATACATAGCCAGCCCTTTGGATCTTCAAGGTGAATTTCTACACCACATTAATATCCCCATTTTTTTGAGTCGATATAGCCAGATGTTGTGCTTTTCACGATCTAACTGATCTTCACCAAGGTCCTATGTTTTAATACGTAGTATTGAGCTGTATATGTAAAACTGAGTAAATTCAGGCAACACCAACTGCCAGCATTAGAGTATAAAGCACGTTATCTTAAAGTTGTTTGCAAAAGTCTCCTGGCTAACAATGTTCACCCGGTTCACATTAGAGTTACGTTTTAGGAAATCAAATCGGTTTTTTTTTCATAATGCGTTTGGCGGTGCATTTTGAAAGCATGAAATTTTACAAATCGGTAAACACAAACTGCTTTAAAGTAGTATGTATATAACACAACATATAGATACAAGAGTGAGCAGTTAATATGTAATTTGAATAGAGCTGGATTAAAACATAGAATTTATGGCATTCAGTGCTAAATAATATAAGTGGTCCAAAAAAAACAAAACAACTGCAAGCATACTGACCCAATATTTTAAAATTGATGCAGCGCAATACAGTGATCAGGAGCATGACATGTAATCTCACCATAGTTAGGTCAGTAAGCACTGGAGTTGAACTGAATTCTATAGCTAATTTCTAGCTCGTATATTCGAAGTTTTAAGTCTTTAGCATGAAATTCTTCATGATTGTAATGGTCTAAGATTTCTACAAGAATAGTCAAGCAAACATCATTTTTGTATCAAGCCTTTCATATTTGCACAATAGTTTCGTCACAATTCAGTGATTGCACATGTAAAAATACACATTTTGATTTCATGGAGGCTTTCATCATAAAGATATATCTATCATCCTTAAAATCTCAACTTTCACAACGTAATTTATGTTGTGGTGCCAATTGCTTTCCGGGACATACTGTACATTCATAACGTGGAACTTATCAAAAGGCTATAATTGACTTCGGAATATAGGTGAGCAATGCTTACAAGCTGCACATCATCTCCAAATGCTCCACAAAAAGACGTACTCCAAACTTAAACATAATTTTAACATTATACAGTTACAAGCCAAATAAAGAATAATCATTCATGGTTGTGCATCAAGCAAGGCATTTGTCTCAAGACGTAAATGAACTGCAGAATAAACAGCAATAATAGCAAAGGCCGATAGCTACATTAAATAAACTTTTGAATATGAGATAACAATTCCAAATGTTGTATACTTTTGCATTTATACAGAAAACTGACAATTTGAGTTTCACAGAACAAAATACACTTGCAATAATATACCGACCCAACGCCATAAATTGATTCAGTGTCAATACTAAGAATGAAAGTATCACATGAATTGATATGTAAAGACTATTGGATAACGCATGCATGAGGATCGCTCAAGCCGTAAGTAGACAAGGGCCGCCATTACTGTATTACCCACTTTACTGCATATTATATAAGCATATTAGTGTGTTCAGTACAATAATATGATTTATTTCAGTAAATTTTGTCATACGAGTGGCATGAAAGATGTTTCAGGGATAGAATGTTCTAGAGCAATCCATAAAGAAGAGAATACATTGATTTAACACTAAATATACCGTTCAATTTGGACTACGAATGTCACCAAACGTTCTACACTTCTGTCGTTTGGCACTTTGTTTACCAATGGTCATAGATTGTGATGTGTTCATGGATGAGAATTTATGATTATTTAATAATACTATTTTATATAATCGTTTGCTAATTCTTTGCCGGGGAGCGATGCCGTGGCGTGGTTTCTTTACAAAGAACCAAGATTGCTCATTACACAGTATCTTAAGTACAATAATGTTATCGTCAAAAGTGGAGAAGTAGTGCAGCTCTTTCAAAAATGATTAGGATTTTTTGCACCCAAAACAGTTGTTGCAGACACCATGAACAAGTCCTTACTGTGGAAGTTCTTTATTCTCTGCTGCCGGCAATCTTAGTAAACATTTTATAGTTTTTGTAATTTAATTATAAAATTTGAAGATGGAGAATCATAGTCAAAGCATAGAACAATTTGACATTGATGATAGTGGACACATTATTCCTTGCAATGAAATTGCTTCCTTTGATGTAATTTCTTGAATGTGTTTATAGGCTGCTGTGCATGATTAGCTATGTTGTTAAGTGATATTTGAACAACTTTTAAGTTAGCAAGTGTTTTAAAGATTTATCCAGGTTTCCAACCAGTTCAATGAAAATATTGCTTGGTTTCTAAATTTCTTTAAAGCAATAAGGAATCTAGTAAACCAAGATTTTTTTCTACAATTATCAGTCTGATGTATTTGGCTCATTATGACTGATGATATAATTGCCTCTTTAAAACTGCTTGTGTACTTGCATTTGAAGACTTTAGATGTACCTCATCAAGGAATAGTTTACAAGAAGTGGTTACTTGTACTCTCTGGCAAAGATGCATGCTACTTTAATGCAATAAATAAGATACCAGTTTCTTTATACCATAGTTTTATAGTGCCTTGAATTCTGTTAACTTGAGAGTAGTTGAACAATGCTCAATTCCATCATACACATTGAATCTAGGAAAACTTTGCAGCAAGATGGACTTTCATGTCCTGTTCCTATTCAATTAGCCATTTTAATCTGTTTTGAAGTTGTAGTTGTTTCTGACATTGGATTTTGTCAAGTTTAGTTAAATATTGCCATTGAATTTTCCTTTTAACATTTATCACAAAAACATCTTTTTAGAAATGTTATTGACAACCTTCATGCATGTGATAAACATTCAAGTTTTACAATAAGTTCTCATTCATGTTTTGAGCTAGCACTGATATGTTGCAGACAAGAATAAAGATCTAGGAAAACTTTACTCACAAAATTGATATCTCAATGTTTATTTTCCATGTATAAGAGCTATAAGTTGAACATGACTAATTAGTTCATAACTCCAATTACAAATAAAATCTGGTTACATTGGTAGAGATTTGATATCAATTTATGCAGAGTTTTGTTGATTACATTAACAGTAGCGATTCAAATATATTTAAAAAGCAGTCTGGTAGTTTTGTTTTCATAACTAAAATGTCTTTGCATACCTGCGTTGTTAGTAGCTTATAATGTGATATTATTTGTCAATAGATATAGAATAGTTCACAGCTCGCCAACAAGCAATTTCATACACGATGGACATACACTCTTCAGGACTAGAATTCTATCATATCAATCCTGTCTCGATGATTCTATTATATCTACACGAAGACAATAGACAATAGAGGATTCATCCGCAAGCTGTGCATGTTTAGAGCAAACAAAACATAATTTTCAAGTGAAAGATCCTCAGTCGAAGGTAGCAAAGTCACGATCCAAATACATTGCGGTTTTTATTATTTTCCCGTTTTTCGACATGCAAGCGACTCCCAGTATAAAAGGCAATTCTTTGAACAATCCATTTTTTAATTTACCTCTCAATACTTTAGGACTTTTAGCAGAACTTTGAAATATAACTTATCTCTATCATATATAAGTACTATTTATACTAGCCAAGTGGGTACTTCAGTAATAGCCACCACCGCAAAAACGCACTGACTTCCGGCTTCAACATTTATCAGGGGCTACTTTTACGATGCGTTATCTAGTAGTATTTACATATCAATGATCACATGTCATTTCCCTTTGATTACGGCATACTACGTACAGGAGATGAACTAAATGACGGAGCTAAATTCTATCTTCTTTATTTTAAATACATACTTTTACTTTGTGTATAGAAACGTTGTGAACAAAAGTGTGAGAGATTGATGGAAAAAGATACACCATTTCATGATTTTGATAGAAACAGTTTCGTAACGAGCTTGCAATGACCTTGAACATCAAATACAGTAATGAAAGCTATTGTTGACTAAGGCCTATAGTTCAAACATCTAAATTTACATGAACCGAACGCATTTAAAACAAAAGATAATGAAGAATTTCAACTCATTTTGTCTTGTCTTTAATGCGTTTGTGCATATAAGTTCGACGTTTATAACAGGCCTATATTATCTTATGCAAACTCTATTTTAAGTATTTTAAGTTGCGAAATCCTTTGCATTTAACATTTTATAAAACTTGAGACTGGAGAAGAGAGCTGGTGCACAAGATTTGTTTATATTGAACTTTATGTTAACGTAAACTGTGGATAAAGTGGACGTTTGTCAAGTGTTAATACGTTGGGTTACTGCATTTTCATGCAATAGCAGGCTTTTTGAATTGAGAATGTTATGACTGTGGAAATGACTTGAAAGTAAAATTCTTCTGAGTGTTTTTGTTCACTTCCGTTGTAATTGATCGTATCCGCGTTATTTGAGCCAATGCATGCGCAAATGTCACGCGCAAATGAGCAAGTATATCAACAAGCATCCACATCCTATGGGCATCAAGAAAGTTCAACATCTTTTCAGGCAAAGGAATATTAAGAAAAAGAAAACTTTGTCAAATGATGAATTTGGCATTGATCTTAATCCCATCATTTTTTGTGTCTATTTGTGTCAAAGCACATGCAAATAAGGTAAATATTTTATACAATTAGCATTTGAGTGCTACGATTAAAAATTTCAAAACTTAGGCGCATAAAAGAAAAAAGTAGAAATGTAAAAGGATGTTTTTTAAAAGAATAGGCAATTGAAGAAATTAATTCATAACGTGAGTAACCATCAAAAGAGGAAATAAATTTATTTCATGTTATGTCATGTTTAATTCATGTTATGTTTCATTTCTAACGAAAAATAAAAGGAAATGAAATGTTCTTCAGGTATAGGTTCATACATAAAATGAGCATTGTCATATTTTCGTTTGTTACTTTACGAGTTTTACCTTAATGTTACATTTTTTTAAGATCTCTAACGAGTAGCGACGAAGTGAAAACATGTGTTTTATTTCAAACAAATTTCTTCCCCATTCTTCATTGTGTAATATATTTGTTGTTGTAAACACTCCATAACCAGATTAAAAAGTTTTGGTGACAGATTTTCACCATATGTTCATAATTAGCTAGCAGTTAAACGATTTCTGCAAATTAGACAGCGTCACGACAAATTTAAGATCCTTTTGACGTTTACATTTTTTTGCTAGATTTAATCAATGATAATTTTACCACGTCTTATGGGGAATGCGATTTTTCAACTATGGCATGGAGACACGAATAAATATATCGTGCTTTAATAAAGGAGATATCGCCTCATTGGATTTTACAAACCCAATTTAAATATTCATGCACTAAAAAGTAGTCAGTAAGTTTCACTCACTATTCATCAACATTTGTTGTTGGTAACCGTTATCGTATATAAAGAATGCTTGGATTATAGTATTGATCGTAATTAGGTTTGAAATTCATTCATGTAGCACTTTTGATAATTTATCTTATGGAAACTTTTTTGCAAGCTGTTTACAATTTGACAAACCGATATAGCTAAGTGATAAAAACATATTAAAGAACTTAATAATCTATTATTTATTATAAATAGCTATCAGATGACAATATGCCATCAAATTTGCTCCTTGTTCGACATAAACACGTAGCAGCTAATGACTTTGACCTTGACCTAAATGTGACAACAGATTAAAATTATATTGTGAACATCTAAATAGGAACAAAATAATTACTTGGGTACGCAGGCTTATAATTAACATTAGTGGCGGAAAGGAACCTGAAGTTATATATTGGCTGTTTACATGAGCTCTACAGGAGGGCTTGCCCTACCAACCGAGATCCGTCTGCTTTTGAAATTCCATGTAAAATCAGTTTTCGTTTACACGAGAGGAGGGCCAACCCTACCAGCCAAGATCTCACTATTGCTTACCCGATATCTCACGATGTATAGGGATGGAAATTTCCCATGTAATCGCATAAGACAGGGCTGGCCCTCCTTGTTGGGAGGGAAACTTAACACATTTGCGTGCTGTTATGCATCGCTTTTCAACAATGGCGACAAGAAAAGTCATTAACTGGAGAAGAAACTAAGAAAGCGTAAAAAAAGCAAAACGCGACAACTACTTTTGTTTGTTTTCAACTGCTTTGTACTTTAACGCTAAAACTTGCTGTTTAAGCAATGCTCTTGACGTAGGACTTGAATTTGCATGTAAAACGAAGGTAATATACAGCCCTACAGAGAGAGCAAGCTCTTTCCGTATTGCTCATGTAAACAGCCCCATAGTTCTCTTTTTATTCCATTAATTGCTTTCTAGAGTAAAAACAAATACATTGTTGTGTAAAACGAAGATGGGCTGCTTTTGTTACTTGTTGACATTTTATCGTAAATTAACTTTATTAATTACAATCAAATACGGACACTTTCATATGAAACGTAAATTTAGCTGTATGCTATGATGACATAAGTGCTAAGCAACCAGTATAAAAAAGCATTACATTGATCTTGCAGGAAGCAAATATATATGAAACATGCCAAACAAGTCAATATGGGACGTATAAAGTTGCCCTTCGATTCTGTGACAGAGGATATTGGCGTACAACTGGTCAACAGAAAACTCATAATGGTCAACAGAAAACTTCTCATGGTCATCTGAAAACTCTGAGTGGTCAAAACAAAACTCTTCGCATTCACAAAAGTGGTACTTATACAAAAGCATTTGCCATTTGGCATGGTGATATTACATTAAAACACTAATAACACTTAAAATATATGTTTTTAGCTTATTATCTTCCTATTATAAGGGTTGTGACGGTGTTTGGCTTTTGTTTTCCTTCTGTGCAACGTAACAATATGATTTCAACGCAAACATCAACAAAAGCAAAATATATTCTTTTGCAAATAAAAATGCTGATTTAAAACACGGGGGCTATTGCTTGTTTAAAAACCTAATTGATACCTTCTAAACCACTAATTTTTCCTCCTTTGTTTCATTGAAAACAGGAACATCTTGCAAAGATATTTTGACAAAATATCCATCTGCAATGTCTGGAGTCTACTGGATCGACGTATCGAATCAGACGTTTGAAGTGTATTGCGACATGGAGACGCAGGGAGGAGGCTGGACACTAGTTTATAGCTACACCTTTACAAACTACCAAAGCTTTAAGTCAAGCAGCAATGCTGTTACTCCCCGACCTAACTGGCCAGCAGCTAGAGCATCGGTACCAGTTTCAAAGACTCCTCCATTGAGTAAATTATCTTTAGGAGCAATCGATTGGAGTATTTGGAAGGAAATTGGAAACGAGTTCATGGTGACGTCAAATATTAATGATTGGATCGTTTGCCAGCCTAAAACCGGAAGTTTGGTCACAGAGAAAAGTGGAGCTGTATCATGTCAAAATATCAAGAATGTTAATGCTGCCTGCAAAAGCTTTGCTCCTATAACCGTCTCATGGGGATACTATGGTCCAATGTTAAGAGCCAGCAAATATATTTATGATATTTATTATTACTTTGAAGGTAGCACGATCAATGATTGGCCAACGCACGATCCATGTGGCAAAAATCAATCCAATCAAAAGAAAAACGTTCTAAATCCGCGAGGGAACATATATCTTCGATAGAACTACTAAAGTGAAACCTGCGCTTTTAGCTTACATTTTTGTTTAGTTTTACTATAGTACAAATACTAAAAAAATATATCACTTGCTGCACTCTCAAAATGCGTTTTCATTTCTTATTTTCGAACATATATGAACGGAGTTGAACGATGAACATCTGAATTTAATATAAATTATGAAAATTTCCAATGCACGAATAGGATGAGCGAAGTCTTTTTCTGAAATGAGTTCTTTGTTTGTTTTAATATGTTTCATGTTTGCGATGATTGTCCAAGTCAAATCCATGTTTTTCCTCTTCACGTTTCATGGGTTTCATCAAGTCAAGCTTTTCCTTCATACTTTTCGGTTCTTGTTCTAATCATCGGAAGAATTTGTCAAAAACGTTTTCCTTGAGGTTCATGGTGTTAGCATTATTCAATAGAGCCTGACTTCACTCAAGTTTTTATGCCGAACCGATATTTTTTAGTCTTTCAAAATCTTCTAAATCACAAACTTTTTATTAAGTTGTTATTCTCTGCACGTTTTAGACTGCAGCAAAAATAATGTTGTTTGTTATCTCGTTAAATGTGTTTGCGAATAAATGTATGAAGCTTAAAAAACACATAATGCAGGTTTTTCTGTGCCTTTCTTTGTAAAGTATACCTAAAATCAAGATAAACATAGCCATTTCCTGCAAAAAACAGCATTAAATTGACTTGAGCGCCGAAACATTCAAGCTTCCATCGCCTAAATGTTTTCTGTGATGTTGAAAATAGTTCATCATTTTTGATACACCAAGCACAAATGCTAGCAATCTGCCAATGACCTTTCACCTTTTCCCGCTATTTATCAGCAATTTTTAAAAATAGCACATATCATGAAATGAATCTACTGGTATCTTTTGGAAAGCATGAAAATATTTTTTTGCATTTATGTTCACTTCCGTTGTAGCTAATTGATCATATCCGCATTATTTGAGCCCACTGTATGCACATGGGTTAAAATGAGCAAGTGCATCAAGAAACATACACATCCTTCAAGGTATCATTAAGGAGCATCAACATCCTTTTACAAAGAAAGACCGTGGAAAAGAAACATTCTTGTGCATAAAGTCAAATTAAAGAAATGAAATTGTCATTGATCTTAACGTCAACATTATTGATGTTGACTTATGTCAAAGCAAACTCGCAAGAGGTATTTATTAATTTCAATAAACAGTATTTAGGAGTATAACGGTTAACGAAAGAAAAAGTTGAATGACTGGATGTTTTTTAAAGTCTAACAACAAACACAGAAATTAAAAAACTATTACAATTCATGAGAGAACTACTCTCCGTAATAATCGAGAGACAACTTCGTTTTCTTGGCCACGTAGTTCGGAAGGAAGGCCTGGAATGTGTTGCGCTGCAAGGAAAAATCGAAGGGAAAAGAGCACGAGGCCGTCAACGCATAACGTATTTGGACAGAGTTAAGAAAGTTACCGGAATCGCCAACACTGCAGAAATCTTTGCCTGTGCTCGTAACCGTCAACGTTGGAGAGACATGGTAGCCCAAGCATGCATCATGCATGGCACCTGAACAGACAATTCATGAACGACCTTAAAAAGATAAATACATTCTTTTACAACTTATATTCATTGTATAATCGAAAAAGAGAACTACGAGCAATTTTTTGTGTCTACTTGCAGCAATATTTACTTCATATTGTTAAGTTTGTTTTATTATCATTGCTTTAATTTTACGTTCTTTTAAGATCTTTGTAGCTACGAAAGGAAACTGAAGTTAAAACATATGTTTTCCTTAAAACAAATTTCTTCCTCATTTTCAACTAATTTGTTCTATTTATTTTACACAAAGCTTTATACATTTGTTAATAAGGTCAAAAAACATTACGGTGATAGATTCGCACCACGTTTACTCTTTACATGAGACAATTTGTTGACAGAAAATAAACCGTCTGAATAAATGTGATAACAGATTGTGAATCAGATCTTTGCAATTTGTTTGCATTTAATTCATAAACGTTTCATTTTACAGCATCTGCCGTCGGTGGGAATTATTTAAGATCAAAACGTTTTGACTTAGAAAAATATGATAGCGTATTTTGAGATATTTTAGCTAATCATATTTTTCACAAATTTGGCGGTCATCTTGACTTCAATTTTAATGATTGCAAAAACATTTCATTTGATTGTGTGTAATATAAACCTCAAAGCTCAAAGCTCCCAAGAAATAAAGTTTTTTGACTTAAGTTACCTCGAAGTGACATGAACATTGTCTGATTGTCCTGTTGTTAATTGTTACTTAAATCAGTCAAATGATATTTTCTGGATGTCTGTAAAGCATCAGCAGCGCAAATTAAAATAAAACCCTGTGTTTCCTCGCAGAAATTTGCATCCTCATTCCTCACAAATAAAAAATTATTTCCCTTTTTGCGTTTGTCACATGTTGAATATATTGAAACTTTCACTATGTCAATTGATTCCCACGCCATGTTTAAATGAGTCACAAGAAAAATTTTTTGACAGTCTGACGACCTAGCAATACAGAAAACTTGAAATGTCGTACTATATAATCTGTGTAGGAGTAGACTAAAGGCAGGAAAATATGGACGTGTATGGTTCATATTTTTACCCTTAACTTCCTTTTCTTCATGTGGAATTTGATTTGCAAAATTATTTCTTAAACAATATGACTATATAATTAACAGTTGTATACAGCCATTGTATTAAACTGCAAATAATTCTGTAGGAAGCAAATGATGATATCTATGAAACATGCCAAACAAGTCAGTATGGGACGTACAAAGTTGCCCTTCGATTCTGTGACAGAGGATATTGGCGCACAACTGGTCAAAAGAAAACTAATAGTGGTCATCTAAAAACTTCTCATGGTTGTGTGAAAACTTCTAATAGTACCAAAAATGGTATTTTCACAAAATTAGCTACTTTTAATGGTAATTCTGCTATTTATCAAGTTATGCATGTTTATGCACACTATGTATTATATAAGGCTGAAAAATTTCACGATAATTTACAACTCAGTGTTATATTGTTGTTAGAAACTCAGTTGTAAAAGCACTACGCATATTAAACGTCAGCAATATGAGGTACATATATTAAAAATGAGGACATGAAATATACAAAAAGTCTTGGCTCGAGCGTTGTTTTGGCAATGATGTTCTCAAAAATCTTTTTTTACTCAAACAATAACACTTTCTTATGTTTTCGGAAACATCAATCCCAGTCCCATAAACTAACACAATCTTTAAAATGGACGTCGTAAAGTTTGTTGAGAAACATCGGATTTACCAATGCAAGCAAGTATAACTTATTACCACAAATTTTAGAGCTTATAAACAATCCTGCATGAACAATCCCACGATCCAGTTTTAAGGATTAAGGTCATTGTAGTAACAACACTAAAAATATTTCGAATTGCCACCTTCGAATGCTTCGTTTAAGCGATAACGTATGCATAATGCATTATAGCTTGACTTCATCTGAAGACTGAAGTCATCATACCATCCGATTTTCCACTGTGCATATACATATATTCTAAATTAGCTGGTAACCGCGCATCTATATGTTTAAATGTTTATATGCAAAAATGTAAATATTCATATTTTACTAAAAAAATTATTTTTATCTCAAAGATGTCGACGCAAAATATAAACGACGCATTTGCCAAAGCAGAATGAAATAACCAGTGCATCGTTCTTTCTTCAATTTAGGAACATCTTGCAAAGATATCTTAACGAAATATCCATCTGCCACCTCTAGAGTCTATTGGATCAACGTCACCGATCATCAGCCGATTAAAGTATATTGCGAAATGGAGACACAAGGAGGAGGCTGGACCTTAGTTTATAGTTACACTTTCACACACTATCAAGGATTTGGATTAACACGGAATGCCGTAACGCCTCGACCTAACTGGCCGGCAAGTGGTGCTACGGTTGCAGTATCAACGACTCCGCCATTAAATGAATCGTTAAATGGAGCTGTAGATTGGAATCTTTGGAGGGAAATTGGAAACGAGTTTATGGTGACGTCAAATATTAATGATTGGATTGTTTGTCAACCAAAACTGGAAGTTTGGTAACAAAAAAAGATGGAGATATATCATGTCAAAATATCAAGAATGTCGCTCAAGCTTGTAAAAATAAAAGTCCTTCTTCCATCCGATGGTATTCTGTTGGACCCGGCATAAGAGCCAATAGTTTTTATTATTTATTTGAAGGCAGCACTAATCCTGGATGGTGGCCAACACACGATCCATGTGGCAAAGATCAAAAGAATCAAAAGAAAGGTGTTTATAATCCAAAAGGGAACATTTATATTCGCTGAATGGATTAAACTGCAAATAGCACTAATACTTTAGATTTCCTATTATCTATTTTCATTGGTTATGGTACAAGTATTTGAATATATGAATGTATAATGTATGTCTTCATTTAATTATTTGAATATATATCACTTCAATTAAAAGACTACAGGTGCAATAAATAAAATTTAGTTTCCAGCATATACAGTTATTTAAACGAATGATATGAATCTGATAACGATTAAGATACCGTTATTAACATGGCTAGCAATACATATTCTTATAACTACTGCCAAAGAACCACGTACATTTTTTTTTTGAACACAAACAAGAAATTTAAGGTGAGAGAAATTTCCGACGACGGTTTCCGAAATGAACATAAATTTACATAAATATTTACAATATGTTTAGTGTAAGTGTTTTTGTTGTCCTTTGTATTCCAAAATATGTTCTATTGAGAAAAGTGCTTTCAGCCTTAAAGTTAATACCAAATAAGAAACAATTTTGAGTTATTTCGACATTATTTTAACAAACTAAGTATATTAATATCACCTATATTATATAACTCAGTATCAATATACAGCAGTTGTTAAAAGGTACATTTTTCTTTGAAACATGGGTAGATAAATCGATTAGTCGAGTAATTTCTGTTGTATCCTAAGAGCGAGCTTTTTCAATTTTTTAAAGTCAAGAGTTTCCACTGTGCAAATGATGAAGCATCTTTGCGTCACATCCACTCTAGAGTCACATATTTCCTAATGGAAAGTAACTCCATTCTTGGTATTTGTAATGTGCAGTGGCCACATTACGTTCTGTAAACGCTTTCTCATTTCTGCAAAGTTTAGCCTAATAAATACGCGTTTTTTGTCGCATGTTCAGCCTTTCGTAATATGAGCTGATTATTTCTACGAACATTGATTGCAGCATTATATATTACTCAACATAAAGAATAATAATTGTGTTATAAAATATCACGTGTATGAAACTTGTTACTATGCTTGAAAGCAAATTTCCTCTTCACGTTTTTGTATTTTTGTTATCTAAGCCCACTGCAAGTGCTAATGTAAAAATGAGCAAGTGTATCAAAGAAATCCACATCCTCTGAAAATCAAGAAAGATCAACATCTTTTCAGACAAGGGAAGAGTAAGAAAAGGAAAAGTTTATCAAATATGAATTTGCCATTCATCTTCATCCCATAATTTTTTCTGTTGATTTATATCAAAGCACACGCAAATAAGGTAAGTTTTAATGTATAATTAGCCTTTGAGTGCAATGATTAAAAATTAGACAAGTAGAAGGAAATGTTTATATTTTTCAGGCAATGACATATTCACAATATGAGATTTGTCCTATTTTCTTGAATAACGTTCACATGTTTTACTTTAATGTAATGTTTTTTTAAGATCTCTAGCGTGCAGCAACTAAGTGAAAACATCTGTTCTGTTTTAAACAAATTTCTTCCTCATTCTTCAGTTTTTGATATAATTGGTGTTTTAATCACTCTTCAAAAATATTAAAACGACATTGCGATTAAAGATTTGACATTTTTGCATATTGTTCACTATTCATAGTTAAACTATTTTACGAATTACACAGCCTAATTTAAGGAGATAACAAATTGTAAAATCCTTTTTACCTTTGTATTTATTTTCATTTCCGTTGAAGCTAATTGATTATATCCGCACTTTGTGAGCCCACTGTACTCACATGGGTTAAAATGAGCAAGAGTATCAAGGAACATACCGATACTTCATGTACTAAGCAAGATCAACACTTTTAGGCAAGAAAATAGGAAGAACAAGAAACGTTTCTTCGAATAAAGTCAATCAAAGAATGAAATTATCATTGATCTTATTATCATCATTTTTGCAGTTGATTTATGTCAAAGTACACTCGAAAGAAGTAAGTAAAGTATTTGTGTGTTTGTAACTGTTAAAGGATTCCAAAGTAATGGGAATGAAATAAAAAATTTGAAATGAGTGGATGTTTTTTAGAGTCTAACAACACAGAAATCAAAAAGTTATTACAATTCATGAGCGACCTTACAAAAAATAAATACATTCTTTTGCACCTTATAGTCATTGTATAATTAAAAAATACGAGCAATTTTTGTGTCTACTTGCAGCATTATTTACTTCATATTATTTATTTCGTTGCTTTACTGTTACACTCTTTTAAGATCTCTGTGTAGCTACGAAAGGAAAATGAAGTTAAAACATGTGTCTTCTTTAAAACAAATTTCTTCCTCATTTTCAACTAATTTGTTCTATTTATGTTACAAAAAAGCTTTATACCTTTGTTAATAAGGTCAAAAAACATTGCGGTGACAGATTCGCCCCATGTTTACTCTTTACATGAGACAAATTGTTGACACATACGAATAGATGAGATAACAGATTGTGAATCGGACCTTTGCAATTTGTTTGCATTTATTTCGTAAACGTATGATTTTGTAACATCTTCAGTCAGTTTGAATTATTTAAGATGAAAACGTTTTGACTTAGAAAAATACGATAGCGTATTTTGGCGAATCATATTTTTCACAAATTTGGCAGCCATCTTGACCGCAATTTTAATGATTGCAAAAAATTTCAGTTGATTGTATGTAGTATATACCTCAAAGTTCAAAGCTCCCTACAAATCAAGTTTTTTTTATATAAGTTTCAAAAAGTGACATTAACATTGTCTGACTGCCCTGTTGTTAATTGTTACTTAAATCAGTCAACAGTGGAAATTAAAATAAAACCCTGTGTTTTCTCGCAGAAATTTAAATCTCATTTCTCACAATTAAAAAAATATTTCCCTTTTTGCGTTTGTCATATGTTGACTATATTGAAATTTCACTGTGGCAATTGATCCCCACGCCATGTTTAAATGAGTCACAAGAAAATTTTTTTGACAGTCTGACGACCTAGCAATACAGAAAACTTGAAATGTCGTACTAAATAATCTGTGTGGGAGTGGAGTAAAGGACGGGAAATATGGACGTGTATGGTTCATATTTTTACTCTTAACTTCCTTTTCTTCATGTGGAATTTGATTTGCAAAATTATTTCTTAAACAATATGACTATATAATTAACAGTTGTATACAGCCATTGTATTAAACTGCAAATAATTTTTTTGGAAGCAAATGATGATATCTATGAAACATGATAAACAAGTCAGTATGGAACGTACAAAGTTGCTCTTCGATTCTGTGACAGAGGATATTGGCGCACAACTGGTCAACAGAAAACTGATAGTGATCATCTAAAAACTTCTCATGGCCATCTGAAAACTCTGAGTGGTCAAAACAAAACTCTTCGCAGTCACAAAAGTGGTACTTATACAAAAGCATTTGCCATTTGGCATGGTGATATTACATTAAAACACTAATAACACTTAAAATATATGTTTTCAACTTATTATCTTCCCATTATGCCGGATGTGACGGTGTTTGGCTTTTGTTTTCCTTCTGTGCAACGTAGCAATATGATTTCAACGGAAACATCAACAAAAGCAAAATATATTCTTTTGCAAATAAAAATACTGACTTAAAACACGGGGCCATTGCTTGTTTAAAAACATAATTGATACATTCTAGACAACTAATTTTTCCTCCTTTGTTTCATTGAAAACAGGAACATCTTGCAAAGATGTTTTGACAAAATATCCATCTGCAATGTCTGGAGTTTACTGGATCAACGTAACTAATCAGAAGTTTAAGGTGTATTGCGACATGGAGACGCAGGGGAGGCTGGACACTAGTTTATAGCTACACCTTTACAAACTACCAAAGCTTTAAGTCAAGCAGCAATGCTGTTACTCCTCGACCTAACTGGCCAGCAGCTAGAGCATCGGTACCAGTTTCAAAGACTCCTCCATTGAGTAAATTATCTTTAGGAGATATCGATTGGAGTATTTGGAAGGAAATTGGAAACGAGTTCATGGTGACGTCAAATATTAATGATTGGATTGTTTGTCAGCCTAAAACCGGGAGTTTGGTCACAGAGAAGAGTGGAGCTGTATCATGTCAAAATATCAAGAATGTTAATGCTGCCTGCCAAAGCTTTGCTCCTATAACCGTCTCATGGGGATACTATGGTCCAATGTTAAGAGCCAGCAAATATATTTATGATATTTATTATTACTTTGAAGGTAGCACGATCAATGATTGGCCAACACACGATCCATGTGGCAAAAATCAAGCCAATCAAAAGAAAAACGTTCTTAATCCGCGAGGGAACATATATATTCGATAGAACTACTAAAGTGAAACCTGCGCTTTTAGCTTACATTTTGGTTTAGTTTTACTATAGTACAAATACTAAAAAAATATATCACTTGCTGCACTCTCAAAATGCGTTTTCATTTCTTATTTTCGAACATATATGAACGGAGTTGAACGATGAACATCTGAATTTAATATAAATTATGAAAATTTCCAATATTTTGACAGCTGCTTTTTTTGTTAACGCAAGAATAGGATGAGCGAAGTCTTCTTCTGAAATGAGTTCTTTGTTTGTTTTAATATGTTTCATGTTTGCGATGATTGTCCATGTCAAATCCATCTTTTTCTATTCACTTTTCATGGGTTTCACCAAGTCAAGCTTCTCCTTCATACATTTCGGTTATTGTTCTAATCATTTGAAGAATTTGTCAACCACGTGTTCCTTGAGGTTCATGGTGTTGGCATTACTCAGTAGAGGCCTACTTCACTCAAGTTTTTATGACGAACCGATATTTTTTAGACTTTCAAAATCTTATAAATCACAAACTGTTTATTAAGTTGTTATTCTCTGCACGTTTTAGACTGCAGCAAAAATAATGTTGTTTGTGATCTCGTTAAATGTGTTCGCGAATAAATGTATTAAGCTTAAAAAACATCTAATGCAGGTTTTTCTATGCCTTTCTTTGTAAAGTATACCTAAAATCGAGATAAACATAGCCAGTTCCTTCAAAAAACAGCATTAAATTGACTTGAGCGCCGAAACATTCAAGCTTCCATCGCCTAAATGTTTTCTGTGATGTTGAAAATAGTTCATCATTTTTGATACACCAAGCACAAATACTAGTAATCTGCCAATGACCTTTCGCCTTTTCCCGATATTTATCAGCAATTTTTAAAAATAACACATATCATGAAATGAATCTACTGGTATCTTTTGGAAAGCATGAAAATATTTTTTGCATTTACGTTCACTTCCGTTGTAGCTAATTGATCATATCCGCATTATTTGAGCCCACTGTATGCACATGGGTTAAAATGAGCAAGTGCATCAAGAAACATACACATCCTTCAAGGTTTCATTAAGGAGCATCAACATCCTTTTACAAAGAAAGAGCGTGGAAAAGAAACATTCTTGTGCATAAAGTCAAATTAAAGAAATGAAATTGTCATTGATCTTAACGTCAACATTATTGATGTTGACTTATGTCAAAGCAAACTCGCAAGAGGTATTTATTAATTTCAATAAACAGTATTTAGGAGTATAACGGTTAACGAAAGAAAAAGTTGAATGACTGGATGTTTTTTAAAGTCTAACAACAAACACAGAAATTAAAAAACTATTACAATTCATGAACGACCTTAAAAGATAAATACATTCTTTTACAACTTATATTCATTGTATAATCGAAAAAGAGAACTACGAGCAATTTTTTGTGTCTACTTGCAGCAATATTTACTTCATATTGTTAAGTTTGTTTTATTATCATTGCTTTAATTTTACGTTCTTTTAAGATCTTTGTAGCTACGAAAGGAAACTGAAGTTAAAACATATATTTTCCTTAAAACAAATTTCTTCCTCATTTTCAACTAATTTGTTCTATTTATGTTACACAAAGCTTTATACATTTGTTAATAAGGTCAAAAAACATTACGGTGATAGATTCGCACCACGTTTACTCTTTACATTTGTTGACAGAAAATAAACCGTCTGAATAAATGTGATAACAGATTGTGAATCAGATCTTTGCAATTTGTTTGCATTTAATTCATAAACGTTTCATTTTACAGCATCTGCCGTCGGTGGGAATTATTTAAAATCAAAACGTTTTGACTTAGAAAAATAAGATAGCGTATTTTGATATATTTTGGCGAATCATATTTTCACAAATTTGGCGATCAGCTTGAACACAATTTCAAGCTTTAATGATTGCAAAAACATTTTAGTTGATTGTATGTAGTACATACCTCAAAGCTCGCTAGAAGAAACGTTTTTTGAATTAAGTTACCTAGAAGTGATATGAGCATTGTCTGATTGTCATGTTGTTAATTTTTACTTAAATCAGTCATATGATAGTTTCTGGATGTCTGTAAAGCATCAACAGCGGAAATTAAAACAAAACCCTGTGTTTTCTTGCAGCCATATCCTCATTCCTCACAATTAAAATGAATCTTTCCCTTTTCGCGTTTGTCATATGTTGACTATATTGAAACTTTTACTGCTGAAACAGAGCGCTGCGTCATGCTTAAATGAGTCACAAGAAAATTTTTTTGAAAGTCCGACGACCTCGCTGTATAGAAAACTTCAAATGTCGTACTATATAATCCCTGTGGGAGTGGACTAAAGGAAGGAAAATATGGACATGTATGGTTCATATTTTTATTCGTAACTTTCTTTCCTTCATGTGGAATTTGATTTGCAAAATTATTTTTTAAACAATATGACTATATAATTAACAGTTGTATACAGCCATTGTATTAAACTGCAAATAATTCTGTAGGAAGCAAATGATGATATCTATGAAACATGCCAAACAAGTCAATATGGAACGTACAAAGTTGCTCTTCGATTCTGTGACAGAGGATATTGGCGCACAACTGGTCAACAGAAAACTCATAGTGGTCATCTAAAAACTTCTCATGGTTGTGTGAAAACCTCTAATAGTACCAAAAATGGTATTTTCACAAAATTAGCTACTTTTAATGGTAATTCTGCGATTTATCAAATTATGCATGTTCATGCACACTATGTACAATAAAAGGCAATTTTCACGATAATTTACAACTCAGTTCCATATTGTTGTTAGAAACTGAGTTGTAAAAGCTCTACGCATGGTAAACGTCAGCAATATGAGGTACATATATTAAAAATGAAGAGATGAAATATACAAAAGTTTTGGTCCGAGCGTTAGTTTGGCAATGATGTTCTCAAAAAATCATTCTTTACTCAAACAATAACACTTTCTTATGTTATCGGAAACTCCAATCCAAGTCCCATAAACTAACACAATCTTTAAAATGGATGATGTAAAATTCGTTGAGAAACGCCGGATTTACCAATGCAAGAAATTGTAACTTATTGCCGCAAATTTTAGACCTTACAAACAATCCTGCATGAAGAATCCCGCGATCCTGTTTTAAGGATAAGGGTCATTGTAATAAAAACACTAAAAATATTTCTATTTGCAACCTTCGAATGCTTCGTTTAAGCGATAACGTTGCATGATGCATTAAACGCTTGACTTCATCGGAAGACTGATGTCATCATACAATTCAAATGTCCACTGTGCAAATATATATTGCTATATTAGCTGGTAACCGCATACAAATGTTTAAATATTTATATCCTAAAATGTGCATTTTAGCAAAAATGCAAATATTATTATTTTACTTAAAAAAAAGTTATTTTTATCTCAAAGATATCGACGCAAAATATAAACGACACATTTGCCAAAACAGAACAAAATAGCCAGTGCATCGTTCTTTGTTCAATTTAGGAACATCTTGCAAAGATATCTTAACAAAATATCCATCGGCAAACTCTGGAGCCTATTGGATCAACGTCACCGATCACCAGCCGATTAAAGTATATTGCGAAATGGAGACACAAGGAGGAGGCTGGACCTTAGTTTATAGTTACACTTTCACACACTATCAAGGATTTGGATTAACACGGAATGCCGTAACGCCTCGACCTAACTGGCCGGCAAGTGGTGCTACGGTTCCAGTATCAACGACTCCACCACTAAATGATTCGTTATATGGAGCTGTAGATTGGAATCTTTGGAGGGAGATTGGAAACGAGTTTATGGTGACGTCAAATATTAATGATTGGATTGTTTGTCAACCTAAAACTGGAAGTTTGGTAACAAAAAAAGATGGGGATATATCATGTCAAAATATCAAGAATGTCGCTCAAGCTTGTAAAAATAAAAGTCCTTCTTCCATCACATGGTATTCTGTTGGACCCGGCATAAGAGACAATAGTTTTTATTATTTATTTGAAGGCAGCACTAATCCTGGATGGTGGCCAACACACGATCCATGTGGTAAAGATCAAAAGAATCAAAAGAAAGGTGTTCATAATCCAAGAGGGAACATTTTTATTCGCTGAATGCACTAAACAAGAAATAACACCATTACTTAAATTTCCTATTTTCTATTTTTATTGGTTATGGTACAAATTTTGAAATATATATCACTTCAATTAAAAGAAGGTGCAATAAATGATAATTAATTTCCAGCATATATAGTTGTTTGAACGAATGATATGAAACTGATAGCCATTGTTATCCCGTAATCAGCATGGCTAGCAATACAAGTTCTTATAACTACTGCCAAACAAACACGTACCTTTTTCTTATTGAAATAGAACAGGAAATTTAAGGTGAGATAAATTTTTGACGATGGTTTCCGAAACTGATATAAATTTACATAAATATTTACAAGATCATTTAGTGTAAGTGTTCTTGTTGTCCTTCGTATTTGAAAATATTTTCTATTGACAAATGTTCTTTCAGCCTTGGTGTTAATACCAAATAAGAACAATTTTGAGTTATTTTGACATTATTTTAACAAACTAAGTACGTTAACATCACCTGCATTAAATAACTCAGTATCATGGCACAGCAGTGGCTAAATGGTACATTTTTAGTTGAAACATTAGTGGACAAGTCGTTTATTCGAGTAACTTCTGTTGTATCTTGAGAACGAGCTTTTTTCATTTTTTAAAGTCAAGAATTTCCACTGTGCAAATGGTGAAGCATCTTTGCGTCACATCCAGTCTAGAGTCACATATTTCCTAATGGAAAGTAACTCCATTCTTGGTATTTGCAATGTGCAGTAGCCACAGTACGTTCTGTAAATGTTTTCTCACTACTGCAAAGTTTAGCCTAATAAATACGCGTTTATTGTGGCTGGTTGAGCCTTTCGTAATATGAGTTGAGTATTTCTAAGAATATTGATTGCAGCATTATAAATTACTCAGCATAAAGAATAATAATTGTGTTATAAAATATCACGAGTAGGAAAATTCTTAGTATGCTTGATAGCAAATTTTCTCTTCACGTTTTTGTGTTCGTATCTTTGTTATCCAACCCAACGCAAGTGCTAATGTTAAAATGAGCAAGTGTATCAACGATTATCTACATCATCTGAAAATCAAGAAAGATCAACATTTTTTCAGACAAGGAAGAGTAAGGAAAGAAAACTTTATCGAATGATGAATTTGTCATTGATCTTCATCCCATCATTTTTTCTGTTGATTTATGTCAAAGCACAAGCAAATAAGGTAAGTGTTTTATGTATAATTAGCTTTTGAGTGCAACAATAGAAAATTAGGAAATGTGAAGGAAATGTTTATATTCTTCAGGCATTGACGTATTCACAATATGTGATTTGTCATATTTTCTTGTATAACTTTCATATGTTTTATTCTAATGTTATGTCTTTTTAAGATCTCTAGCGTGCAGCAACTAAGTGAAAACATCTGTTCTGTTTCAAACAAATTGCTTCCTCATTCTTCATTTTTTGATATAATTGGTGTTTTAATCACTCTTTAAAAATATTAAAACGACATTGCGATTAAAGATTTGACATTTTTGCATATTGTTCACTATTCACAGTTAAACTATTTTACGAATTACACAGCCTAATTTGAGGAGATAGCAAATTATAAAATCCTTTTTACCTTTGTATTTATTTTCATTTCCGTTGCAGCTAATTGTTTATATCCGCACTTTGTGAGCCCACTGTACTCACATGGTTTAAAATGAGCAAGAGTATAGAGGAACATACTAATCCTTCATGTACTAAGAAAGATCAACATTTTTTCGCAAGAAAATAGGAAGAACAAGAAACGTTTCTTCGGATAAAGTCAAATCAAAGAATGAAATTAACATTGATCTTATTATCATCATTTTTGCAGTTGATTTATGTCAAAGTAGACTCGAAAGAAGTAAGTAAAGTATTTGTGTGTTTTTAACTGTCAAAAGATTCCAAAGTAACGGGAATGAAAGAAAAAGTTGAAATGAGTGGATGTTTTTTAGAGTCTAACAACACTGAAATCAAAAAGTTATTACAATTCATGAGCGACCTTACAAAAAATAAATACATTCTTTCGCACCTTATAGTCATTGTATAATTAAAAAATACGAGCAAATTTTTGTGTCTATTTGCAGCATTATTTACTTCATATTATTTATTTCGTTGCTTTACTATTACGCTCTTTTAAGATCTCTGTGTAGCTACGAAAGGAAACTGACGCTAAAACATTTGTCTTCTTTAAAACAAATTTCTTCCTCATTTTCAACTAATTTGTTCTATTTATGTTAGAAAAAAGCTTTATACCTTTGTTAATAAGGTCAAAAAACATTGCGGTGACAGATTCACACCATGTTTACTCTTTACATGAGACAAATTGTTGACACATACGAATAGATGTGATAACAGATTGTGAATCAGAACTTTGCAATTTGTTTGCATTTATTTCATAAACGTATCATTTTGTAACATCTTCAGTCAGTTTGAATTATTCAAGATGAAAACGTTTTGACTTAGAAAAATACGATAGCGTATTTTGGCGAATCATATTTTTCACAAATTTGGCAGCCATCTTGACCGCAATTTTAATGATTGCAAAAAATTTCAGTTGATTGTATGTAGTATATACCTCAAAGTTCAAAGCTCCCTACAAATAAAGTTTTTTTTATATAAGTTTCCAAAAGTGACATTAACATTGTCTGACTGCCCTGCTTTTAATTGTTACTCAAATCAGTCAAATGATACTTTCTGGGTGTCTTTAAAGCATCAACAGCGCAAATTAAAATAAAACCCTGTGTTTCCTTTGCATCCTCATTCCTCACAATTAAAAAAATATTTCCCTTTTTGCGTTTGTCATATGTTGATTATATTGAAACATTTACTGTGGCAACAGATCCCCACGCTATGTTTAAATGAGTCACAAGAAAATTTTTTTGACAGTCTGACGACGTATTAATACAGAAAACTTGAAATGTCGTACTAAATAATCTGTGTGAGAGTGGAGTAAAGGACGGGAAATATGGACGTGTATGGTTCATATTTTTACTCTTAACTTCCTTTTCTTCATGTGGAATTTGATTTGCAAAATTATTTCTTAAACAATATGAATATATAATTGACAGTTGTATACGGCCATTGTATTAAACTGCAAATAATTCTGTAGGAAGCAAATGATGATATCTATGAAACATGCCAAACAAGTCAGTATGGAACGTACAAAGTTGCCCTTCGATTCTGTGACAGAGGATATTGGCGCACAACTGGTCAACAGAAAACTCATAGTGGTCATCTAAAAACTTCTCATGGCAGTGTGAAAACTTCTAATTGTACCAAAAATGGTATTTTCACAAAATTATCTACTTTTAATGGTAATTCTGCTTCTTATCATATTATGCATGTTCATGGACACTATGTATTATAAAAGGCTGACAAATTTCATGATAATTTACAACTCAGTTCTATATTGTTGTTAGAAACTGAGTTGTAAAAGCACTACGCATGTTCAACGTCAGCAATATGAGGTACATATATTAAAAATAAAGAGAAGAAGTATACAAAAAAATTTTTTGCTCGAGCGTTAGTTTGGCAATGATGTTCTTAAAAAATCTTTCTTTACTCAAACAATAACACTTTCTGATGTTTTCGGAAACTTCATTCCAAGTCCCATAAACTAACAAAATCTTTAAAATGGCTGTTGTAAAATTTGTTGAGAAACATCGGATTTACCAATTCAAGCAAGTGTAACTATTTGCCAAGAATTTAGACCTTATAAACAATACTGCATGAACAATCCCACAATCCAGTTGTAAGGATTGGGGTCATTGTAGTAACAACACTAAAAATATTTTTAATTGCCCCCTTCGAATGCTTCGTTTATGCGATAACGTATGCATGAGGCATTGTACGCTTGACTTCATGTGAAGACTGATGTCATCATACCATTCAATTGTCCACTGTGCAAATATATATTGCTCTAGTAACTGGTAACCGCATCCAAATGTTTATAGGTTTATATGCTAGAATGCAAAATTATTATTTTAGTTAAAAAAGTTATTTTTATTTCATAGATGTCGACGCAAAATATAAACGCGCATTTGCCAAAACAGAATGAAATAACCAGTGCATCGTTCTTTGTTCAATTTAGGAACATCTTGCAAAGATATCTTAACAAAATATCCATCTGCAAACTCTGGAGTCTATTGGATCAACGTCACCGATCACCAGCCGATTAAAGTATATTGCGAAATGGAGACACAAGGAGGAGGCTGGACCTTAGTATATAGTTACACTTTCACACATTATCAAAGATTTGGATTAACACGGAATGCCGTAACGCCTCGACCTAACTGGCCGGCAAGTGGTGCTACGGTCCCAGTTTCAACGACTCCGCCATTAAATGAATCGTTAAATGGAGCTGTAGATTGGAATCTTTGGAGGGAAATTGGAAACGAGTTTATGGTGACATCAAATATTAATGATTGGATTGTTTGTCAACCTAAAACTGGAAGTTTGGTATCACAAAATAATGGGGATATATCATGTCAAAATATCAAGAATGTCGCTCAAGCTTGTAAAAATAAAAGTCCTTCTTCCATCACATGGTATTCAGTTGGACCCGGCATAAAAGGCGATAGTGTTTACTATTTATTTGAAGGCAGCACTAATCCTGGATGGTGGCCAACACACGATCCATGTGGCAAAGATCAAAAGAATCAAAAGAAAGGTGTTCATAATCCAAGAGGGAACATTTATATTCGCTGATTGCATTGAACTGGAAATAGCACCAATACTTTAGATTTCCTATCATCTATTTTCTTTGTAATATATATCACTTCAATTAAAAGACTACAGGTGCAATGAATGAAAATTAATTTCCAGCATATATAGTTATTTAAACAAATGATATGAATCTGATAACGATTAGAATTCCGTAATCAACATGGTTAACAATACAAATTCTTATAACTACTGCCAAACAATAACGTAGCTTTTTCTTATTGAACTCAAACTGGAACTTTAAGGTCAGATAAATTTTTGACAATGGTTTCCGAAATGAACATAAGTTTACATAAATATTTACAAGGTGATTTAGTGTAAATGTTCTTGTTGTCCTTCGTATTTGAAAATAATTTCTATTAACAAAAGTGCATTCAGCCTTGATGCTAATACCATATAAGAACCATTTTGAGTTATTTTGACATAATTTT